CGTCCCCTCTCAGAGCTTGTGGAAGCCTCTGATGCCAAAGAAGGCCCAACTTGCGCCTCTTCATTAAGCCAAGCTATGCATTTATCAGAGAGGATGCAACTGAAAGTAGGAGCGAGGGCCAGAAGCTCTCTCGTCCTCCATGTTGTGGCATACCGAGCTAGCTATGCACCTCGGACTGAAAATGTGGCAGGGTACTCTATCCCTTCCTCCGAGCAAGTCTGATCATGGCCGAATTGGCGCGGAAAACGGAACGGGAAATAAAAGACACAATGTGTCAGGCCAATCAACTGAATCCCGGACTGGCGAGACATGCTGTAACTCATCGCCAAAAGATTGAGCCAAGGGCAGCGCCAAGCAATACTGGCAGCAAACAAATTGTACATCCATTTGCACCACCATCCCTCATCAGGGGCATCGACTAGACGTTGCCGAAAGAAATAGCCGCGAGTTGAATATGCCGGGCATGAGTCCACATCCTTCAACTTATCCATCAACCATATCTGGGGAGGGATGAAAAATGAGAGATTAAAGAATAGAGAGGTGTACGTGGAGAGAAAAGTGAGAAAAGGGTTTTTGAAAGAAAAATCGAGCCTGAGGGCCGAATGATGTGAGAAATATATGTGAGATAGGGTGGGAAACATTACCTGCAGCAGTAGTGGACTGCCTGCGAACCTAGTCATCTCCCGGCGATAGAAAACATCCAAGCCCATTAGTGTCTCAGCTAGTGACATGGTGATGCAACTCTTGCCCTCTTTTAGGCCTTGGGAACCTCAATCAAACGGACACTAGACCCTCCGGAGCCTGAGGTAAGTAAGAAATGAGACAACATGCACAAGCAAAGGGCATGTCGCCGAAAACCCTGCCAGTGATGATCGCCGCGGTCACTAGCATCAGAAAACTGATGAATCAAGCTGGGGATGTCCAATTTCCCATCGCGGATTAAAGACCGAGCGTCATGCATAGTGAGCCCGCACATCTGTCCTAAGGCTTGGATGCAGTCAAAGCGGAATTGTGGCAAGATTTCTTCATCGCGCTCGGACTACATCAAAGCTTGAAAGTCTTCGAAAGTGGGACATATCTCTTGTCCGCCAAAGCTAAAATTGTGCGTGATCGGATTCTAACACTTTGTCGAGGCATGGAGGAACGGAAAACGCAGTGGGGTGCGACTCAGCGTGAATAGTGCATTTATTCTGAAGCCCCAGAAATTCAGCTTTTCCGAGCCATCCAAGTTAGCGATCCAATTTGCAAGATTTTGGACAAGAAATGCTTCCATTTGGTGCAAAAAAACTGAGTTGAAATGGAGAAACTACGAAGCTGGGGCTTTTGTAGAAGATAAGGTGTTGAGTGGAAGACAGGTCGCAGCATTCTGGAGGTTCTTGCCATCTTTGGCTAATCGGCCAGTAATTATGGCCGACCGACCATCTTTTTGGCCGATCGGCTAGTTGTTTTGGCCTATGGTCATTTCTTGTGGCCGATAGCCTCCCACCTTGGCCGATGGCCTCTCCTTTGTCCTCTGAAGCTGTCCATGTGTTGGAGGTATTGAGAACTTGTGATTTGTTCTACTTCGAATGCCTTTTTGCGACGATTTTGCGAAGTCGCGCCTGTGTTACTTCAATTTGTTTATCGAGTTGTTGTATTTTTGTTTATCGAGTTGTATTTTGTGTTAATTGTTGAGTTCTTGTCTAGCTTATCGAGTTGTATTTGCGTTTGATTTGTATGTCAAGTTCTTTGTTTTGCTTATCGAGTTGTTTTGTTGTCAGTTGGTTCACTACCTGATCAATGCAATTCGAATGTTTCATTTTAAAACAAAGTTCAATCTCATTTACATTGTTATGTGATGCGATGCGATGCATAAAATAAAATGTAACACTTTTTCAACAAAAAGTTATTTTTTATTCCATCATGTTTTTCTTTTGCAAGAGTACAAAGTTTTAAAGAAAATAAACATGCCTGAGGCAGTACAATGTGCAAAACTACTAGCGAAAAGAAAAATAAAGCAAAAAATAAAACATCTGAATCAGCATCCAAATCGGCGCCAGTCGCCTCAAGTGCGAGAATCCCTCATCGTCCTCTTCCTAGACGAAGGTCCAAGATCACCACCATCAGCTCCACTGCCTGAGTCTGAACCTGAGCCATCTCCAGCCTCATTCTGAGACGACTCTGCCTCCGTATTAGACTCATCGTCATCTGGGGCAGGCGCCCGTGAATTGCTCCTGGAATGAGTACGCCTATGCCTGCCTTGACTGTGTATCGGCATCCCTCGTTCGGCCCCCCTGCTGCTCTGGAAGGTACTAATGGTCCCGCTGAGGCACCCGCTGTGGCTGGTATCTGGAATGGGGCTTGAAAAGAACATTTGGCAGATGCATCAGTTATGCTATGCGAAGCTGAGTGTGGTATCAAATACAGTATATGATTACAGTGTGTCAGTGCCGTGAGCAGTGTATAATTGCAGTGTATGAATGCTGTGAGCAGTATATGAGATACAGTGTGTCAGTGTCGTGAGTGGTATATGAGTGCAGTGTATCAAATGCCGAATTGATAATGTAATGCATCAGATCAGTATGGAATATATTATGCAAGGTTTTGGGACTGAGGTTGAAAGAACTTACTGGGATACCGTAAATACTCAGTAGGTCTGTGCTCCTCTGCAACATCCCCATCACCGAAGCCGTCAGCTCCAGGGCTTGCCCAGTGTACTCGATGGAAGCCTGCAAAAGTGTTGAAGTCATTAGCAATCTGCGGGATATCAACTGAAATGAAATGACTGTACAGAATGTAAAGTACAGCACATACCGGGGTCGAGCCTCGAACTCCGACGAGCTCATGATCAACTAGGGGAGGAGCGATCGTAATCTGGTAAGTCTCTCCAGCCTGCCCGCGACATGTCATAGTGGTGGGCAAGTCTGGCCACTCTACTCTCCGTCCCCTCCGGGAACCCCTCCTGCTATGGGCTTGAGTCGCCCTCGATGCTCCCGCTCCTCCTACTAGGGCTGCAGGCTTCTCCCTCTCAGCTTGGTGAGCGTTGGTCAGAGTTCGCATGAGATAAGTCTGGATGAAGTCGGTGTAGTCGCCATCATCTCTTAAAAAGTCGACATCCCAGCCTATCATGAAATCGATCATCTCCTACGGGGTGTACCTCTCTAGATGCCTCATATGGGTGAGAGGTGGCCTCGGGACTATCTGCTCAGGTAAACCAAGGGTCTGACGCAGGAAGCGCTCTCCCAAATACCATGCCCGACAGACCGGACCCTCCAGCAAGACCCAGAACCGGGAAGTCTCCCGAGCACCCATGTACTGGTCTCTTACTACATCAGGCAGCACCGCCCAGGGCTGCCAAGTGATCTGCAAATGACAGGATATACAGTTTGTTATCTACTATCGGAAGTACAATGTAGAGCAAAACTCAAATGAACTGTGAACTTTGAAATACCTCTGCTGCGGCTATGGTGTCAAAATATTTGTAGAAGAACAAAAAAGACTCTCGTGGTCTCCGCTCGCATCTCCCATCATACCTGTGTGAATATGGGACCATGGGGGGCATCTCTACCTCCGGCTCTGGAGCAAGCCTCGGAAAGTAGGCATACACCCATAACTACAGAATGTAACAGGGTAATAATGAGTATGTTTATCAATGAAGCGGTATGCAGATAAAGCAGAAATCAGAGAAGGGTGTGCAGTGTATTGTGCAGTTGGTGCGGTGTATAGCCAGTGTAAAGCAGATTGCGTGTATGCAGTGTGTATGGTGTACAGATAATGTAAAGCAGAATTGTAAAAGTAGAAAGGAAAGGTGTACCTCCCAGGCTCGCCAGTAGCCTCCTAACAGATGCCCGTTCTGGCGTGATGAGGAGCTCATATATCCGTACAATGTGGCCAATCCTGCGCCACCCCAGTCATAGCGCCGGATCTAAGTCACGTCCACCAACGCGCTCAACAAGTAGAGGCCAACGGTGTTCGCCTGGTTGGCGAAGAGAGTGGTGCCCAACATGAACATGAGGAACCCCCGGGCGTAGCGCTCGACCTCCTCTCGGGTCGTTGGTATCTGTATCTTGAACTGGTCCTCGAACCATGAATATCTCATGAACCCCGGTTGGGAGAGAGGTGGGCAAACGCTGAGCAAGAAAATCTAGGCAGCATCCCACTCGCCCATGTCGATGTTGAAAGGGATCGGATCACCCCCTACTCCGATGCCGGTAAGCATGGAAAAGTCGAAGGGAGTCATCGTCATCTCCCCTGCCGTGGAAAGGTGGAAGGAATCGGTGGTGTCCCACTACCTCTCCACTAGTGGGCCTAGGAGAGGCCGACTCGCAGTGAGGCGCGAGAGTCCCATGCAGAATGTGCCAAAATCGGTCTGATCAACGATATGGCAGACCTCATCGGGTAGCTCCATGTACCAGTCGCGTGCAATGGTATTCCCATACCCCCGAAAGGCATATGAATCTCCCTGTGTTCAAAGACAAACAGATGCAAAGTAGTATTAGAAATACAGTGTTTGAATGTGTCCAGAATTGATAAAAATGCAGTGCTTGTGCATATTTTCGAGTTGACACAGATATCATGTATGAATGTGCTCCGGATGAACTAGGCATGCGATGTACAAGTGTGTTTGGGTTAATCTGATGCAGAGTGATACTAGCTATCCGAAGCGTATGACCTACATTGCAGAAAGTAGAGGGGAAGAGTATACCTCAGCGGCGCCATAGGACAAGTGTAACTCCGGCTTGTGTAGCAGGAGCTCTAACGGCGCACCTCGCACGAAGCTCCTAAACTGGCAAATACTGTCGGAAAGCAACATATGTACCTCGGGCTGGTACGTCGCCGAGTCGAATGGCCAAACACTGAGCGGCAAGAGCTCGAACTCGGGATCCATCTCCATCCCTGGAGGAGCCCCACCCTGTGAAATATCATCCGCCATCTCAAGAAGAGCGAGAAAATGGGCGAATGTATGGAAAATGGGCAGGAATACCAAAAGTCAACCGAAAGTCAACCCCGAGGGGTGAAAAATGGAAGAAAAGGTCGAAGTGCGGAAGAAGGCACGGAAACCAAGGGTAACTCGAGGGAAACAAACCCCAAGTGATGGAAATCAAGAAAGGAACACCGAACTCACGTTTCAATCGGTTCAAAACGTCGAGAATAACGAAGGTTTTGCGAATCGAACGTTGTGGGAGGCTTGAAAACGGGGGAAAAGCTCGGCTCGAAGGATGGAAAACAACCTAGAGAGAGAGGAGATTGAATTTTGGCTAGGGAGAAGTGAGGAAATAGGGTTTGGAACCCTATACTTAAAGACCCAAGGCAAATGGACAAAATTGCCCCGAATCTGCCACTTTTGGCCGATCGGCTAAATTGTTGGCCGATAAGCTCTTTTGATGGCCGATGGATGGTCGATGGCCCCCCTTGTGGCCGATGGACCTGTAATGCCCTTGTTTGGGGTAGTTCTTTTGTTTGGTGCCCTCATCTCTCAAGAAAGTACAAGAAAATACACTTTTGAAGCTTAAGCGGTCTCCGTGGTGACCTCAAACCGTGTCTTCCGTATGCGGCACTCGATACGCGCGAGGTGTATCCTTTTTCGTATCCTTTTGTATATTGCAAGATTCAAAAATTGCTTTGAATATGTTGCATTACAGTGTTTTGTCATGTTTGCAAGGTGCGCATTCGTTTTACGCCTTTTCACTCTTACATCGAGCATGCCTCATCTCATTTTGAAGTTGCATCTCAACATTGTGGATAACATGCCTTTACCATGCTTACATTGAATATGGCATCTCTATGTCGTTGCATGGAACATGCGTGTTGCGTTGTCGCTTAGAATATGCATCATCATGCTCGCCTAGCATATGCATGTTGTATCGGATATGTATCCACAATTACATTGCATAGGGCATACATGTTGCATTGAACATGCATCTTTGTTGTTTTCCATAGAATATGCATTTCTCCCTCTTGCATAGAATATGCACCATAATATTGCATGGAGTATACATCACCCCTCGTTGCATTGTTATGCACTTTTTACGTGCATTGTTATGCACTTTTCACTTGCATTGCTACGCACCTTTCACTTGCGTTGCTACGCATCTTTTCACTTGCATTGTGTATGCACGCGTTTATTTCATATTGGAATTGTATCTTGACGTGACATTGAATGTGTGTTGCTACTATATTGTACCTGTTGAGTTTCTTTCTTATGCAAGCACGATATTGTATGTACGGTTCATTTGAGACTGGTGCAACCAGACGGTATTGTGTGTACGGTTTATTCAGAGGAATTCCAGGTAAGACCCTTCCTGTCCTTTGAGTTCATTTTGTTTCGGTTAGGAATACCCGGGTGCGCTCGGTGTTCTCGCTGTACCCTTGTTAGAAGCATTCGGACTCACTCCGATGTTTATGTAACTCCTCAGTGCTAGCACTGCTTTCTTTCCTCTCCTGCGTGTGATACGCTGAGAGATGCTTTATTTCCTTCTCTTGCGTGTGATACGCTGAGAGATGTTGCTTTCTTTTCTCTTCTGCGTGTGATATGCAGAGAGATGCTTTCTTTCCTCTCCTGCGTGTGATACGCTAAGAGATGCTTTCTTTCCTTCTCTTGCGTGTGATACGCTGAGAGATATTGCTTTCTTTCCTCTCCTGCGTGTGATACGCTGAGAGATGCTTTCTTTCCTTCTCTTGCGTGTGATACGCTGAGAAGTGTTGCTTTCTTTCCTCTCTTGCGTGTGATACGCTGAGAGATGCTTTCTTTCCTCCTCTTGCGTGTGATACGTTGAGAAGTGTTGCTTTCTTGCCTCCCTTACATGTGATACGCTGAGAGATGCTTTCTTTCCTCTCCTGCGTGTGATACGCTGAGAGATGTTTTCTTTCCACTCCTACGTGTGATACGTTGAGAGATACTTCCTTTCCTTCTCTTGCGTGTGATACGCTGAGAAGTGTTGCCCTTTCCCTCTCTCGCGTGTGATACGCTGAGAGGTGTACCTTTCCTTCTCTTGCATGTGATACGCCGAGAAGTGTTGCTCTTTCTTCTCCCGCATGTGATACGCTGAGAAGTGTTGCTTTTTCCTCTCCCGCGTGTGATACACTATGAGATGTTGTGTTTGAGACTCCAAGTATTCTCAGTAGTCGCTTTTAGCCTTCTCCGCGTGAGATGCAGTGAGAATTGCATAATTTTCTTACATCCTTTCTGTTGGAATGTGTGAGACTGTTGTTTCTTATTCGCTTAAATTGTTGTATTTATTTTGCATAAATGCTTCATTACAGCTTTCTTTGCATGATCATAAGTTATGTTCAGCATTATGCATGTCATTTGCATCTTGCCCCTGCCTACGGGCGCATCTATTTGTTATCTTGTTTGTTTGCCTAAGTCTTCGGCCTTGTCAAAAATGGGTCGTCTCTGGGCTTTGACATTCACTCCCGTCATCTTATGACTTTCGAGTTCTGTTAAAGAAGGACAACTGTAGACACCCCATTTTTGACTGTCCTTAAGACTTAGACGTCATCGTTTGAACACTCGATGATCATCCATGCTCGTGTTCGTTTTGAGTTCCTGAAGGTCTCGGCTGCGCGCCTTGCCTTAGAACCTCTCAACTTGTCTATTTTGTGCTTGGTTGTGGACCAAGGACTTGTGGTTTTGTTTCTAAGGGAAGAGGGTGGCTTGTTGGCCAGCCCTACAACCCATCGGCCAAGCCTTGTGCTTATCGGCCATGTTTTCTTGTCATCGGCCATTAGTGATGGTTGATCGGCACTCTTTTTGGACTATCGACCATATCTTTTGGTTGAGGGCTTTTTATTTGCTTTTGCAGATATTTTTGTGCCAGCTGTGACAGCTGGTGAGCACAGATTTCATCCTCCATACACATGTATGGGGGGATTGAATCCAACCCTTAGCTTGTCCAACAAGCTTAGGATTTGATTTTCTATAAGAAGAGAGACCCCTCTCCCTTTCCTGAGGTTCTGAAAAGTTGATATACAAAACATATATATCTCTCTATATATTTCATCTTCTCTCTCTATATTTGTGCATCTTTGTGCTCAAAAGTGCCTTTTCTTCACACTATTGCACACAAACAGACACTCAAACACCATACTCTTGTTGCTGAGGCACTTTGAAGCTAGTTTTGGTGTTTTTGGACTAGTTTTGATCCAAGAAAGCTGATGGAGTTGTTGCTCTAAAGTGGTTCTACAAGGGTGAGCTTCTAACCTGTTAAACCCTTGTTTTTGATTAAGCTCTTGGACCTATTTGCATGCTTATTTTGGCTTGACTTTCTACTACAAAAAGTTTTAATTTTGCATGCTTGTAATTTTTGCTTAAGGTCTCTTTTGTGTCGGGGGTGGTCTACCCTCTCTTGTGCCTTGTTTGGCTTTGTTTTACGCCATCACTTGAGATCACTTTCTCTTGGCCTTTTAACCACTGAAATCCAGTGGATTTTCAGTGGTAAAACTTGTATTTTGAGGTCTTAAATAGGAGAGGGTCATCCCCTCTCCTTGTATTGGATGCTTGCTTCATTTGCCTCATGTTTGAGCGTGTTTGTTAAGTTTATGTTGACTCTATCTTAGCATGTATTTGGGGTTATTTTGACATGGCATACCACTCTTTTGACTTAGTTTGGTCACCCCTTGCATGTTTTATACACTTGAAGTGTAAATTTTGCAAACTAGCTTTGTGTGCCTTATGAAGTAGCATGTCTTTCTAACATGTTTTGGCTCCATCTTAGCTTGTTTTTGGTGTTGTTTTAGCATGCCATAACTCTGTTTTGGGTTGGTTTGATAGCCTCTTGTATGCTCCATGCACTTGTAGTGCAATTCCATTCATTGGCCTAACATACATAATGTTTTTTACTATCATTCTAGCATGATTTTGGCTTAACTTCAGCAAACTTTTGGTCATGTTTTAGCATGCTCTAGGTCTTATTTATGTTGTTTTGGTCATGCATGCATTGCTTTATATAGCCACGGTTTAATCTAGCTCATTAGCTTTGTGTATTGAGTCCACTAGCATGCATTGCTTGGACTATTTTCATAATTTGGCATCACTTCATATGTGATTTCAGAGCATGTTTCATTGCTATACACTCACATCTTTCATTCTTTTAATGCATTGGAGAGTTTGTGCTTTATGCCTTAAACAGGAGCCATTGTGAATGCCTTCATGCCTAAGCTTGCGAGCTATCATTTCAGTGTGTTTTTGGGGTTATTTTTCCATGATATAACTCTGATTTTTGTTGGCAAAGCCATCTCATGCTTGGTCTTGGTAGGTGTAGTGTAATCCTCTATATTGGCCTTACATATTTCATGCTTCATGCTCACCATGCTAGCTTATTTTGGGTTCCTTCCATACATGTTTTAGCATCATTTTGACATGCTCTAGGACTGTTTTGGGTTGTATTTACCATATGCTTCATGTATTGCATAGCTGTAGTGCAATTGGCTTTGCTAGCTTTGAGTTTTGAGCACCATAGCATGCTTCATTTGTGTTGTTTGGATGATTTGGCATCACTTAACATGACATTTCAGAGCATGTAGCATTGCCATGCTCCCACTTCTTTCACCCTTTGAGTGCCTCTAAGGGTTGTGCATTGTTGCCTTGTTTATGGCCTAGTGTGTATGCATGCATGCTTAGACCTTTGAGCCCCCATCTCAGCATGTTTTGGTCTTTGCTTAGACTTATTTGAACTCTGTCCATGCTTGGTTCATGCATTTGTGCCATGTATTGCATGTCTCTAGAGTAGTCCTCCTTGGTAGCTTTGTGCCTTAAGGACTCTTGCATGCCTTGCTTATGTTAATTGAATGATTTGGCATCATTTCATACCTAATTTCAGTGCTTATAGTATTGTTACACTTCCACATTTGTCACTCCTTGAGCACTTTTGAGAATTGTGCTCTTATGCTTAGTCGATGAGCCATTGCATGTGCATGTATTATCTTGCATTTCATGTCTTCATTTCAACATTTTGGCCACTATTTTGGGCATGATTGAGGTCTGTCCATATTTGGTTTAAGTCCATTGAGCATGGTGTTTGAATGTTGTTGCATTACATCGAGTTTACATGCTTGTTGGATTGCCTCATGTTTGCATGCTTATGTTGCATTGCATGGTAGTTGCATGCCATTAGCATTGATAGGTTGCATATGTTGCATTGCATTGTGTGTGCATATGTTGCATTGTGTTTAGAATCTTGTGCATGCATTGCAATTTGTTTAGATAGGGTGTCAATCCAAACACGAGGAACGAGGGACGTTTTATACTTGAAGTGATGAAACGTGCCTCAATTCTCGATCGCCGACACCTTTGATCATGCATGATAAGGTGGAGGTTTCATCGATTCTTATGTGGTATTTGTGTGCATTCATTGACATTGATTTGTGCAACTCGGCCTCTTTGGCCATCATGCATTGAGATGCGTGATTGATGGCTCGAGAGCCAAGCTCTACACTCCTTAGAGCTTTAAACATGATAGGGAGTGTGGTTGCACGCACATTTTCTTGTAGATACACTACCATGCCTCTGTTAGTGCTCTGTTGCAGCAAAAGGAGAATTTACAGGAAGCAGTGGCCGACCGGTTATCAGAGTTGCCGATCGACCACTTAGTCTGTTGATTGGTTATCAAAATTGGTCGATAGCCATAAACACTGGCCAATGGCCATTCCTCTTGGCCGACCACCTCTCAGCATGGTCCTAAGGTGGATCAGAAGTATCTTGGAAGTTGGCACAATTTTCAGAAGTCCAAAACAGTGCAAACAGAGGCAATATGAGGCACGGTAGTGGATTTCCGAGCGAAGCCGACTGAGCACGCATGCATCCCTCATCACGAGGCCATTTCAGTGCTTTTGTTAACTTAGAATAGTTATTTGTTTCAACCTGATTTGTAATAATTAATTAGCTTGTTAGTTAATTAGTTTCGGTTTGTAACTAAGTAGTTTAGCTTAGCTTAGCATAGCTAGTTTGATGATTCATTCTAACCCTCCGTCAAAGGGGCGAATTTTGTAATAAACGTGCGTGTGTGTGATGCATGTCTTCCAACCCATTTCTTTTTCCTTTTTATTTAGCAGTTTTCGATGGTTAGTTTTAGGGTATATCTTAATTAGCATCCTTATGCTTGCATGCGTGCATCCATTCATTTGTCTTGCATGCACCGAGCTCGGCGCATCATACAAACTGCATTATATTTCAATTCCTATTTGAATACATGTATCAAGTTGCATTCACTTGACATCTTAGAATAGCCGAGCCCATCTTAATTGCATTTTTGCATGTGTTGCATTAGGCATTTTAACATAAACTAGGATCATACATTGATTACTAACTAGTTTTTGTTTTGGCTCGGAGTACACTGTAAGTGTTTACGCTTTAGCATACTGCATGAGATGTGTATGTTGCCATGTTAGCATGCTTGCCATGAGGCTATCTACTTAAGTGATTAACTGCATGAATGCCTGTGGGTGGAGGCTTGATTGCCTGAATTGGCACAACTCGATGATTGTGAGTTTTTAGCCCACTTGAAGTGGCAAAATCATATTTTTCTAAGCCCACTTGAGGGTGGCAAATCCGCGTCTTAGCCTACTTGCAAGTAACACTTTCAAACCACTTTCAAAAACAAACATGAGTTGTTTTGTTCCAATCCACGTGATTGAGTCTATACTTGTATGCTGTGCGCATCACATAGTAATTCTAGGTTAATAATCGGAATAAGAACACATGTGTTTTCAAAAACAACATATCATGTTAAGTAAAGGCCGATCTTTGATCGGGCGAGCGGGGGTGCTCATTGCATGACCTTCCCCTCTCGTACCCAAGTTCTCGAGCCAATGCAACTTTGGTGATGACGGACACGTGGCCTTAGGCACGAGTCAGGGTTTCCTAAATTTTTCAAAATAAAATATTTAGGTGGCGACTCTGAAATCTGGCATAGCAGTCCATGTTTGGCACTTTTTGATTAAAATCAATTTTTCAAAACGATTTGCCGGATTTGGACTCTTCGGTGATTTATCAGTCTTACATTGCACTTTGTGAGATTAGATTCAGAACCGTTGTGTACTTATTAAAGGATTAGTAGTGTGTAAATAAAATTTTTCCATAATCCAAATCCAGTTATATTTTACCATATTATTGTGATGAGGTTCATTTGCAAAGCAACTTTATTTACTTTTAAAATTTGTGTATTTAAAAATTCCTTAATAATTATAGCAAAACCCACTGAAGACATCATTATAGAAATTGTAATTTCTTTTTCTTTTTCCTTTTTGGGGCAGGTGAAATTCCAGAAGAGATGGGTAATCTTCAGAGGTTGGAGATCCTATCCATCAGAACGGCTAGTCTCACTGGTCTCATCCCATCTTTCATATTCAACATCTCTTCTTTAAAGAAGCTTAATCTTCAAGAAAATAGTTTATATGGTAGTCTACCTGTGCCTGTATGCTCCCCTCTTCCAATGCTTGAAGTTGTCTCTCTATGGAGTAACAAATTGACGGGAAGCATTCCAGGAGGAATCGGAAACTGTACTTCACTCAAACATTTCAGTCTTGCTGAAAATAACTTCACAGGTAATCATCATATTATCAACCTTTATTTTGTCAATTTCATGGGAAATACTATAATACGCACAATAGGTCATAACCATTGACTCAAATATCATACACACCTCCTCTAAAGTGTGTACCATATGTAAATTATGTCATTTATTGTGAGTTTGATTATCACAAATGACATAACTCAATACTATGGAAGTCATAACTAAAAAAAAAAAATAGAGTTATAATTAAACATCACATGAGGTATAATCAAATAACTTTTGAATCATAATCAACATTACAATGTGTCATAAAATTTATCCAATTTCAATATTTCTCATGGATAATTACATTTATGTGGGAAGCAGAGAAACCTTTTTTTTTTTTTTTTCACAAATCATTGGACAATCCATTTTAAATGTAATAAAGAAAGAAATTGATAACAAATCAGTCAAATTTACCCATTGAATTGACCAAACTATCCCCTCAGTAGCTCTAGCCACCAGCCACCATTGCCATACCGTCCCCGCCACTACCAGGCCCTCCCCTTCATCCCCATGCCCTGGTTTCACCCCCAGTCTCTCTCTTATCCTTCCTCGCCTTCCACATTGACCACGGAAGATACCCCTAGAAGTATTGGTCGCTAAAACTCTTGACCTATTTTCATACCTATTTTTAGATAGAGTATACACTTCAATTGGTATGAATGATGCCATTTTTTCTTTTTTCATTAATACCCATTTTCATTTAGTAATCATCACATCTAATAACTTTAATAACGATTAAATAATTTTTCTTTTTCATCAATGTTCAAATTGTTAATTAATTTTCTTCATTCATCAAACTATTCAACAATTTTAATATGAAATTGCAAATGTGATGCGCCTAACTGCATTGCTATTATGTACATATAAAAGGGATTGGGTTAGTTTCTAGTCCACAGTTCAATTTGGGCCTTTGGACCCACCAAACTCCTTATCCAATCTATTCACTTTATATGTCTTTGTGTTAAAAAAAATAAAAATTGATTGATCCGTAATCACATAATTTTATCATATTTATTGTAAAAAAATGAACGACAAGCATTAATTTGAAACAAATCATTTTTTATTTTTAAACAAACATGATGAAACCACGTGATTATATTTATCAAATCAATATGATTTTTGGATAAATTATACTTTGTCCTTTTAAGTTTTAAAATTTTTCACTTTGAACCTTAAAGTATTTTTTCTCCACGTTGGCTCTTACATTTGAATTTTTTTCTCATTTTACTCCCATATAAACTTCAATCTAATTTTGGATGGGAATGCCACATTAGCAACCATGTGTCGCCATGAGAACAGCCATGTCGCATTACATGGATAAATTGCACTTTTCCCGCTTTAAGTTTCGCAATATCTTACTTTGGCCCTTAAAATATTTTTCCTACCAACTTTGGCCTTAATGTTTATAATTTTTCTCATTTTACTTCCAAAACAAAGCATTACCCAATTTTCGATGGAAAAATGACACTTTGGTAGCCATGTACATCAAAATAATTTATATTAAAATTTAGTTGAGTTTTTAGAAGTAAATTTTGGATTTTATTTTATTTATTTTATTGTTTTTGAATAATTAGGGACAAGTTTAACAAAATAAATTTATATTTTTGAATTTTCAAAAAATATTCACCCCAAAAAGAGAAAACCATATGAAAATAATTAGTCTTTTTATATTTGTTTCAATTTTTTTCACCAAACTAATTTTTAAAAAAATTTCAAAAAACAAATTATAAAAACTCAACTAAATAGAGCGGTGCTTGAGTATATATAAACAATGATCATGGTACAGGGTGGAATGATGAAGGAAAGGGACAATGAAGAATGATAGAGGTAGAGAGGTGGTGGAAGTTGGGGTAGAGGGAAGACTGAGAGAGCATGTAGCGATCCCGATTTTGACCCGGTCAACTTCGGGGGTCGAGCTGCCCGGTCAACTCGCCGAAAGCAGAAATGCAAAATGCATTCGAAAATTGTTTACGGAAAAGTGTATTTCACGCTCGAGCGACCTTGTTTATCAGTCCGTAAATTAGGGTTTCAGCTCACTTTTTGCAGCCCCCTCTCTCTCTAAAACTCTCCAAATTTCCTGATCTAGAGCTTCTCTCTCTAGAAGTCATCTTCTCTCTTTGATTTCTCCAAATCCATTGGGATTTAGGCCTAAGTTCTTCACCAAAGTTGGTTATCACCTCGAGGGCTTCATTGTGTGTGGTGGAGATCGAGTTTCGATACCGTAAATTTTGGGGTTTCATATCAGATTTTCTTCAAAACTTGAGGTATGGATTTTCTTTGAGTTATATATATATTTTTGCAAGATCTAGATGATTTTCGAAATCATCCTTTGATAGCTTCTGAAAATTGATTGTTGATTCAAGAAGTTGAGCGATTCTAAAAGTAGGTTTGTCTCTTGTTCTTTTAAAATGATCTTATGAGTTTTGATCTTCGTTGATTGAAGAAAAGATGATTTTGGAAAGTTTTCTTTCAAAAGATTTGAGTTGTATAGTTTTGGTGAGAAAACCTAGAATTTGGGGATTTTCTTTAAAGACTGAAAATCCATAAATGACATTGTTATATTTATTTTGTGTGTCAAAATAAATGGATGTTTGCAGAATTTCTTATTTATATTTATATAAATGATGAATTTCAGGGAATATGAGAATTATTGTTCATTTTGGAAATTATTGTTCAAAATGTTAAAATAGTCTTGAAATGACTAATTGTTGAGGATACTTGAGAAGAGGGAATCGTACTATTCCTTGGATGATGAATTGAGATAAAAGTATTTATATTTATCTTGAGAAATTACATTGAAATGAGGAACGGGAATTTTGATCACAATGGTAGTATTATGTGGAAGAATTGTTACATATATTGATTATTGTTGTATTGACATATCAATTCATTTGATTACATTAAACTTTGAAAATTGATTTGAAAACTTGCATTGAGAAAAGAATGTTGAGAAAACACGTTTTCATGGAATGGTTTTTGGGTAAATACGTTGGTAAGTCTTGATAGGTGGTGTAGATAAAATTGAATAAGTTGGCCTGAGGGTCCGGGGTGAAAGACCGAAAATCCGCGCGGATAGATGTTGAGCCTTCCGGTTAATACCGGTAAAAATGACAAATTGGTAGTACTAGTATAGTCTACTTGCAGACACAGACTTAGGGATTACCAGAGTCGTATTTACCGCCCTTGAAATAAATTGTTAGTTTTGAACAATTGAAATTGCATGACATCATTGAGCATGATGGTTTTCAAAAGATGAAAATGCGATTTATCTTCAAAAAAGGCATATCATGGCATGTGCATTTCATCTCTTGAGACTTGTATAAAATGTATATACTTTGTTAAGAATTTCTTACTGGGCTTTATGCTCACCCCGCGGGATTTTTGTGCAGGAAAAGATGTGGTGATTTCACCCAACTAGGGGTGTGGAAGTGTGTGTGTTGGGAGTACAATGCTCTCATTTTACGTGACTCTGTTTTGTAAGCCAAGGGCTGTATTTGTGTGGGTTTGAATAACCGTTTTGTGTAACCGGACTTAAGCTTTGGAAACTTGTAAACCCTTGAGGATATCTATTTGTTGGTTTTATTTTGTTTTGAATTGAATGTATTACTGCATGAGAACTATTTGTGTCATGTAATGCAAGTATGAGAATTTATTTCGATTTTCCTTTAAAAAACCATGATTGTTGTATCAACATTTGGGCTTAGAAATTGGGGCGTTACAGAGCAGTAGAAGTTTAAGGGTGAATTTATAGCCTGTTTGGCTTAGGTGATTTGGGAAGAAAAGAAAGAAATGCATTTCTCTTAGTCTATATCACTCGTTTGAATAAATAAAAAATAGAGAAATAGAGTGAAATGGGAAAAAAGGAAGAGTAATTCATTTCTCTCATAACCCTTATTTTAAATCTCTCTAAGAAGTAGTGAAATTGGAAGAAAAAAGAAACAAACTAAATATTATATTTTATTATAATACCAGAACTACCCTTTTAGATATTGAAGAAATAAAAAGGCTGACACTTATAGTAGGTTAATTTGGTAATATAACATGACATCATTATTTTTTTTCTTTTATATAACTTAACCAAATAATATAGGAGATAATCAATATTTTTCCTTTTCTTTTCTCTTCTATTCATCCAAATAAAAGGAAAAAAAATCACAGTCGTTTCTTTTATTTTCTTTTCTTTTCTCTCTTAACTTATGTAATTACTATTTTCTTTTGTTTCTTAAGTAACCAAACATTGTATTAAAGAGGAGAAAGAGATGGGAGTTAGAATTTGGGTTTTGAAAAATCTAGAAATTCCCTAGATGTTGATTTGTGATTATGTATCAAATTTAAGCAGTATATAACAATCCTAATCAAACAATCAAGACAAATCAACACAACGATTTTAATGTGAAAAAACCACAATTGGACACCTCCAACTGTGATTAAAAAACCACGGGTAACAGCCACAAAACAATCTACTAAGAAGATTTAAGGAATTACACAGGTATACTCTCAATTACCTAGCGAATCCACGCCTAATTGAACCAACCTCTATGTGCCTCTTCCAACCCCGTCTTCACCTCGGAATTGTTTTTACGATGAGCCACTCCAGAATCCACCAAAGCTTCAGGCTCGAATTCTTCAGAATCCACCGAAGAACAACTCTCTCGAGGTAGACATGAAACACAACCTTTGATGTACTCTCTTTAAACCATGAGTTGAATACTCAAACAAAGAAAACTAACAAAATATCCCCAGCTATAAACCTTAAGAACCAAAAAAGAAGATCTGGAGGAATTAAA